CCCATTGGCCCGCCGTATCCGCCACCGCCATTGGTCCGCCCCGGCAGAGCATCAGAGCCTGTGTACGTCATGGCGTCGGGGAGGAAGTGCCCTAACGCGGGTGAAGGGGCGAGAGGGAGAGTGACAGCTTCTATGCAGACCTGGGGCGGGACTACAAGCACGTCCCGGCAAGGATTGGTCTCGGCCGTGCGTAAAGGCGCACGGGGCGCTGGGTAATCAACAACCGGATTGGCGACCTGCATTGTGAAGGGGGCGGGTCTTTCGTTCTCGGAGATGACGATTGGTCTTTCCAAGTGACAGACGCGAAGAGGAGGAGAACGGTCGAGAAACAAGGTCTGATATTGAAAGTTCTGGCGGATAGTGTCGGGCGTCTGTACCGGATCTCCCACTCAATGTGGAGCCATCGCCTCTCGCCCGCCATCCGTCTTCTTGGGCCAGGTCTGCCGGGCCTCCAGCGGCGCGGTTGCGGCGGCGCTGACCGGCAGACGGGCTAAGGGCCCCCCCGGCATCGGGCTCGCGGAGTGTGGCCGCCCTAGGTCCGGCGCCGCGCGGCGGCGGGCTTGCAGACGGGGCTAGGGAGAGCCGTGTCCACGGTGAGACTTTTGACTTGATTCCCAGTTGGATATCTTCAGGAGGGACGTGGGCTCTTGGATGATAGAAACCATGGGTGGTAGGGAAGAGGTGGAGAAGAGAGAAGACGAGCTCCGCCGTGTGCTCTGCTGGTCCAGGTCTCAGGCGCCTGTGGAGAACGAATGCTGCTTTGGTGGCCTCGGAGGGCGGTTCGCAGCCGTCCTTGACTCTCACCGGTGTTTGGGTGACTCACCCAATCCCGCTCAGTTTCAGTTTTCCACATTATTAATACAAGATGTTGTGAGAACTGAACCGTGCACGTAAACCTTCCGCTTCGCTGTTGACAGTGACATTCAGCAAGACAGGTCACAGCTGGTCATGTCTGGAGAACTTCGGCTCTCGAAAGCTTCCCAAAAATCTATGAGGGCTTCTCGGTGTTTATCTAATGTAATAAGAAGGTAAAGTACTGTTGCGAATCAAAGCCATAGTGGTCTTTTATTTCACTATTTAGTTACACAAGACGTGGAAAAGTTGGATGAGCATTTGTGCGGTGCTTATGGTTTGCCAATTTGAGCTAAAATGAAATGAATCAAGTCTCCGGTTAGTCAAGGTCCTCTTATAAATGCATCCGTGTACTTGTCCAGGAGAACTAAAACAGAAAAACTAATGAGTACAAACGATGCTGTTTTGATTTTTCACCCTGTATTTTGCTGGGCTCTAATAAAAAATATTTACACAGTTCAAACTATGAAATCATAGAATCAAAAACTCCAGAGTGGACATGACCTTAAAGGTCACCTTTCCCACTTAGGCAGTACTGGTTCAGAGGTCGCTCTTGTTATAATGCCCCTGTTCAAATCTCACAGCCCAGCTGCTGACTCACTGTCAGCTATAATTCACTTCTTAAACTCTCAGTTTCTTTACCAATAATATAGAAACAGCAAATAGCACCTCTCACATAGAGTCCCCAGGAAGATTGACTGAGAAGCAGCCCCACGTGTTGATATGCATTGATGAAAAGATAAGCCAAGCCAGGGTTCCCATGTTTGCCTCATTTTAAGAATTACCTAGTAAAATTAAAATTGATAAAATCCAATCCCAGACACCACCCTGTTGGGGTGATCTAGTTGGGGATGGTATAAGAAGTTTTCCCTGAGATACTGATATTTGAGCTGCTGCCAGAAAGTTAAGAAAGAGTTAAGTGGGTAATATGTGGGGAGAACATTCTAGGACTGTGCTGTTCAGTAAGGTAGCCCCTAGCCCCATATGACTATTGAGCACTTGAAATGTGGCTGAGATGTGCTGTAAATATAAAATACACACTGGATTTTGAAGACATGAGTGGTTGTTGAGCAGTAGTAACTGGTTGGAACTGAGATGTGGTATAAGTGTAAAATACCAGATTTCAAAGACTTAGTATTAAAAAAAGAAGGTAAAATATCTCATGAATAATTTTTTTAATTACATATTAAAATGATAATTCGGATATGTTGTTAAATAAAACATAGTATTAAAGTTGTGTTCTTCTTTTCAATTGTGGCTCCTAGAAACTTTCCACACATGGCTCAGGTTCTGTCTCTGCTGGACAGCCCTAGCCAAGTGTCCCTAAGGTGATGGAGGGAAGCACATTGGCTTGAGGGACCAGCATTCATTCTTTCATTCAACAGATACTTGAAGCATTTTAAATGCTTACTATTTCCCTGGCATCACTAAGCCCTGTATTGAATACAGGGTAACAGGCAGGAACAGTCCCTGGGTGGTACAAATGGTTAACACACTCGGCTGCTAACCAAAAGGTTGGAGGTTCAAGTCCACCCAAAGGCACCTCAGAAGAAAGGCCTGGTGATCTACTTCCAAAAAATCAGCCACTGAAAAACCTATGGAGCACAGTTCTACTTTGACACACATGGGGTTGCCAGGAGTCAGAATTGACTCCACAGCTACTTTTTTTAGGGGGAAGTGATAGACGTGCTATTTTATATACATTGATGGGGTAGTAACATGAATGGAGGGAAGTGCATTCCACAGGGAGTGGGGAGTGAATTCCAAGGCCCTGAGGTGAGGAGTGGGGGGGAGCTCCAGGAACAAAGAGCAAAGTAGGAGCAGATGGAATCCAGGAGGTGTCCTGTGAGGGCTCCTGGGCCAGATTCTGCAGCCATTATGGCCAGGGTAAAGAGTTGAGATTGTATCCTGAGTGAAAAAGTGAGCCCTCGGACAGCCACAGGAAGATGAATGATTGCCTTACAATTCTGAAGGATTGCTCGGGAGATGGCAATGGCGTCTGAAGTGAAACATGGTACATTCCAGATATGTTTGAAAATAGAGCCACTGTGAGAGAGGGGAGGGTCTAGGACAAAGTGGGCATTGACTGAAAGGTACAGGTTTGGGTTAAAAAATCAGGAGTTTCATTTTGTACAGTTGAGATGCCTCTTGGTCCTCCAGGGTGCGTGACAGGTGGGGACAGGGACCTAGGGGAGCAACAGCTGGAGAGATGGCCAGGCCAGGCGAGACCTTGGGCACATGAGTGATTCCCATCTTAACCCAAAGCAGTGGGGAGCCAGCAGAGGATTTTAAATGGGGGGGGGGGATATGACCAGATTCCAGTTTTAAAACATCACACTTGGAGCAGTGTGAAGGGCACGAGGATGATGAGCAACCAGGTGGGAAGCTGTTCCAGAGTAAAGAGAAGGGACAGGAGGAACAGATGAGGAAGAAGTTAATTCAGTAAAGGCTGAGAGGTAAAGTAAGGGTCAGTAGGAAACACAGCGCCCGCTGGGGCCATGGGGCAAGACAGGAGGGGCCACCTGCTTTGCCACTGAAGGCTACCAGGGAGCCTAGCCTTGCCATATCTTGAAACTCTTCAGTAGAAACTGGAAATTAGTTTTTGTAGGCCATTCCAGTAATGGCAACCGATATTTAAAACACTGTGTGGGCCAAACGAAACACATCAGATCTACAAACTCCTGCAAAACAGTTACCTTGGCCCCATCCCTAGAGATTCTGATTCAGTAGATGTGGAGTGACAGCCAGAGTGTGGGGTTTTTAAACAGCACCTAGTGTGGTCCCAGAGCCCTGCTTTTGAAAACACTCTCAAGTCATCTTGTACCTCCAGAGTGATCTTCAGCCTCCCGGGAAGGCCTGGCCTTTACAATGCCTGTTATTGGACAACCATTCCATTACTACTCCACACTGTGCTTATTACAGTCCACCCCACCCCTCCCTTCACCTCTCCTGAATCCATTCTGCAAACATCTGCTCAGGGCCTCCTATCTGCCAGGCACTGATCAAAGAGTTGTGGATTTAGCTGTGAGCAAAAACAAGTCCCCGCCAAAGGCACTTACATTCCAGTGGGCTTCTCTGTTCTTTGGAGCCAAAAGAAGCTAATT